ATACGACTGCTGCATGTAGGTGGGTGGTGGCCCGCGACCCCTCGTCGAAGCCCTATACGGACTGCCCGGATTGAACGACATCGGCGGTGGTCGTGTAGGACTAGCGAGCAGCACCCAAAATATGCACTTTTCTTCTGACAAAAAACAAGCAAAAATAACACTCACTTCGATGCATTTATCCTCGAATAGGCCTCTCAGGTGAACTGGGATTAGGTTAGAGAGCGTTTGGTGAAGTGCAGAAAGCAGACAGTGAGCTTCTTCAACAGAAGTGAGTAAGAGCTCATCACTCATGGGACGTATACCCCAGCTGAAATATTGTTGTTACTACTGAGCATCTAACAAAGTTTGTCACTTTGCAAAATCGTCGTTCAATATTCATTTTGTGCAGCCTTGACAGGCTATTGGGCAAATGTTCTTGCAATATTACCGGCAAAAAGGGTGGTAAAAGATTGCCACCTGCGCCCATATTTTGGGCGCATCATCTCGAGTACCGCTGGGTAAATCACCATGTACCCTTTGATACAAAGGGAGGCTGCTGGAAGACGGAGATTTAACGAATAACAGGACCAGAGACATGCATGCAAGGAGACGCAGACTGGACGCGAGCGGTCTGCGTCTCTTCTCGTCTAGCCCTCAAAGCTCCGCCTCCCAGCCGCCTATCCTGTAGAATCATAGGATAGTTTCCAAAGTGAGAATATAGATCATACCATCTCAATAATGTCCCTTGTGGTAAACATAACTTACTTAGGACTCTGACTAAGTTTCCGAGGTGTCACGTCACTGAGCATTATTGACTGTGGGTAATAAACGCGCTGAAGATTGACGAACGAAATCGACCGCATATCATGAAGTGGCTTGCCAAATTTGTCGTGCTGCAGCACCGAATGTGCTACCTATAAAATATAGCCATCATAATCCGATTCTGCAACATTTCGAAAACAAAAGCAATCTCTCACCTGTGTATCAAAAACGTTAACCATATGTACAGCATATTTGTGAGCCAGCAGAGATCCAACACGTCGAGCGTCGTGAATCACCTAAACGAGTCAGGGTTATAAGGTGATTGTAAACTGTATACGGTACTGTAAGGTGAGGACCATTCTTGTGTCACAATCCAAGAAAGAGCGTTTCCTAGTAAGTTTTATCGAAGTTTTGAATCAACGGTATATCACAACGATAGCCCAACATCCATATTTTTGTGAATTCATTCACAAAGCGAATTTTTGCAAATTCTTGGCACAAACTATAATCGAACTACTAAGTACTGAAGCGTATCCGGAAGATGCATATGTCACTCGTTTCTAATCACAAACGACTACCCATCAGGTGGAAATGCGAAAAGCTATATTTTTGGTGCCCCAGTTTTTCTTCGATTAATTAGATAGCACTTATGCTCTAAGAATTTCCTCTCTCACATCGCTCCAGCAAGAATTCCTCGCAGCTCCACTAATCGCCTGCTATTCCGGTGCGCCTCTACTCTCAAGCCTAGCCCTTGATTCTAGGTACCCTTTGATTCAATGGAAAAGGCGGCTAGAATGGCGACTGTTCGCACCCGCGCCGCATCTGGCCTCTCCCGTGCGCATGCTCTCCGATGACTCTCTAGCCTTGAATAGGTCACAAAACCCCGCCTCCCAGCCGCCTATCTAGTTGAATCAAACGATAACAACTATGCCAAATTCGTTCAGGAAAAGGGGCGACAAAATTTCCTGGGATGCTTCCCAAAACTTTGACGAGACCATAACCCCGAATCGGAAAAAAGAAGTGTCACGTCAGCTTCCCCCGAAAGTTTTTACAAGGCTAATTTGAGTCTTCCAAGATGATCATTTTTATCATATATTACAATATTAGGTTGATGCATAATTAATACATGTTACTCATTCTTCAGCGGAAGAAAAGGTACAAAAATCTATGAAACATACCATTCGATAAAGCAAAGGAAGTTTCTATTAGATAATGTGCAAACAATCCTATAGAGTTTGACATACTTGAAGTTAGGGAGAAAAATTCAAATTTTTAGATTCCCAAAATCCGGATCTCTGTACAGAAAAATCCTACAGCTCTACAAACTTGCTCACATGAATTACATATCGAGTATGTACCCTTGCTCTGTTTTCCCATGACTAGAAGCAAAACAAAATTCGACATGGTTTAGCAAAATCAGTGCTGGATGTTCCGGCATAAAAAATCATTTATCATACTTTTTTCCTTCCAAATCCCTCCAAGTGTTCCCCAGCTATTCCATTTTCCTGAAGTGTTGGTTTTTATGCCTTCCTGTCAAGATGTCTTCCACACTATCCTCTTGTAGTTCTTTTCTTGCGGATGTCTCTTTTTGAAAAAAAAAAA